GTGTAGAAGATCTCATTAAGCATTTCTGTGATGCTTAGTTTCAGTTCTCAAACTGTGGTTTCATCTCCAGAGAACAACCTTGTTAATAGCACTATATGGAGATGAGAGATAATAGACCTGATTTCCTGCTCATCAGTGCTATTGTCTCCGTGCAAGTTTGTGTACACAGAGTGAAGCCCTTACCTTTTTCTAACACTACAAAGTTTCAAGAAATTAAATGAATATAGGATTGTTGGGGGTGGAGTAGATCTGGGCAAGGAGGAGGAGTCTGGAGATAAATGCAGGCAGGGAGGAGCAGTAAAAAGAAAAGACAAACATTTTGAGCAGATTATTCCAGAAGTCTTGAGCGAAAGGTTTCTGCGTATAGCCTCTCCACTGACTTGAGATCCAGTGAGGGAATGGAATGATATAAGGGAAAACCTATCATGGCAGTAGGTTTGCTAGGCTGTAAAAGAGACCTTGTTTGGGACTGTTTTAATGAAGGCTATATCAAACAATGAGAATATACTTTTTGTAGAAAATAGTAATTAAGTTAAGGCTTCCTGTCCAGTGATTTTAGGTTGATTTAATTTAAATCAAATCCACTCTGCTTGCCCAATCAACCCAGAGCTTTCCTTTCATCTGAAAATGTTCAGATCTGGAAAGTGGGTAATGAGGTAATCAGGGTTCAGGAGTTCAAGCTGACCTGAACCTTTGGCATTCACCTCACTTCGAGCATATGCCACCTTACACACTTCACTTAACCTAAGTAAACACTATCCAGGCCAGGGGATGCTACGGTATCTCAGCCAACACTGCCTGCATCTGGGCAGCTGCCTCTACTATGTGCAGCTTGCTGCAGAACTATTAATCGTTACCCTTTGCTTGCGGCTATTGACCCAGTTATCTATCCACCTTGTAGTATTTTTATCTAACCCATGTTTCTCCAATTTGTTTATGAGAAGGTCGTGCAGGACCTTGTCAAAAACCTTGCTGAAGGCCAGATACGTTATATCCATGGTGCTCCCTTTATCTACCCAAGTAGTTAGTTGGTTAAAGAAGTATATCAGGTTTGTTTGGCACCGTTGGTTTTTCATAAAACCATGTTGGCTGCTTGCAAATAACCTTCCTTAGGATATGCTCCAGTACGTCCCAGGTAGTGAGGTAATGCCAACTGGTCTGTATTTCCCCAGGTCCTCCTTTTTGCCTTTTTTAAAGAGGGGGCACTGCACTGGTCCTTTTCCAGTCCTCTGGTACCTGGTCCATCTCCCACGACTTCATGAAGATCATTGCCAAGGTTACCCAGATCTCCGCTCCCAGTTCCTTCAGGACTCGGGGATGAAGTTCATCCAGCCCTGCTGACTTGAATTCATTCAGACACAACAAAAGCTCTCTGACCAACTCTTTTGTTATCTCCTCCCTTAGCTTGCCCCCTTCCTTATCCAGATAACTCATATTAGATGCGTGTGTCTGCAGCCTAATTTTTTGTGAAGACTGAGGCAAAATAGCTGTTCTAGGTCCTCCTTCCCTCCATCTTCAGTTAGTTTCCCTTGGCTTGTTACAGAGTACCCACAGCTTCCTTGGTCCTTCTTTTCTGGGCAGCCTACTTATAGAACCTCTTCTTGTTGTCCTTAACCTCTTTTGTGAGGTTCAACTCATTCTTTATCTTTGCTTTCCTGATTTTTGTCCCTGCAGGTTCTTGCTGGTTCCTTATATGAGTCCATGGTGACCAGCCCATTCTTCCATTGCCTGTATGCTTTCCTTTTGCATTCGAAGCATTTTGGAAGCTTGTTGTGCAGCCACATTGGTCTCTTGCCATTCTTCTTGTACTTCCACTGTGTTGGGACACTTTCTTGTTGGGCTTCCAACACTGCACCTTTTAGAAGCTCCCAGCCCCCTCAGGTGCCTTGATCCTTCAGTCTGTCTTCCCATGACACCATGCCTATTAGCTACTTGAGTTGGATGAAATCTGCATTTTGAAATCTGGCATTCTAATTACGCTGACCTCATGCTTTCCCTGTCTCAGGATCTGGAATTCTAGCATATAGTGATTGCTTCTTTCCAAGATGCCTATCACCTTCACATCCTCCACTAATTCTTCCCTGTTGGTTAGAACAAGATCCAAGATAGGTGATCCCTAGTTGTATCCTTTACTTTCTGGAACAGAAGGTTGTCCTTAATGCAAGTTAGGAACTGGCTTGATGTTTTGTGTTTGGCTTCATTGTTCTTCTAGCAGGTCTCTGGAAAATTGAAGTCTCTCATCAGTACTGTCCCATAGCTTTTGGGTAGCTTTGTCACCTGCCTCATCTACCTCCTCTTCCTGATTAGGTGGTCTATAATAAATCCCCACCATTATATGGGTGCTGCATCTTTCACCTTTTTATCTTCATCTGAATATATTCTGTTTGCTGTTTTCTTCCTTCTGAACTAGAAAACAAGTGCAAGTTTATGATGTACAAGGCAACACCACCTCCTTTTCTCCCAACCCTGTCCTTCCAAAACAGAGTGCAATCCTCCAGTCATAAGAGCTGTCCTACCAGGCCTCAGTGATGCCAGTCAGATCATAGTTCTTCTTACAGGCTAAGGCTTCCAGTTCATCTTGTTTATTTTCCATACTTCTTGCATTTGTATACATGCATTGGATGTATTTTGCATTTTGACCTTCTCACTTCATTCTTGTGCCAGTTGTTGCAGTTCTGTAGCTCTCTGGCTCTTTCCCAGAGTTGAATTGCTGTTTTGAGTCTTTCCCCCCTCAGGACTGTGTGCTTTGTTCCTGGAGGGTTTTGATCACCATCCCCTCTGGAACTTAGTTTAAAGCCCTCCTTACTAGCTTGGCCAGGCTCCATCTAATGATGCTGTTGTCAGATGGATCCCAAGATCATTTCATAGAGAAGTAAAGCTGGAAGGGACCTCATAAGATCATCTAGTCTAACTGGGAATCAAACCTGCAACCTTGGTGTTATTAGCACCACACTCTAGCCAACTGAGTTAAACAGTTATTTTCCCTGCTGTTGCGGAAGCCAAAACATTTAGGTCAACACCACCACCTCAGCCATGCATTTACTTCAAGGATATGATGGTCTGTGTCTGAACCCTTGCCTTCCATAGGAAGAATTAATGAGAATACCACTTGTGCTCCAAGCTCCTTAATCCTCTTTCCAAGAGCCTCATAGTCGCTTCTGATCTGCTTAGCGTCATTCTGCACAGTTATCGGTACTACCAAGAGTTGTCTATTATTTCTGCTATAGTATTTACAGCAAAAGAAAAGTTTGAAAGGGGGGAAAAAAAGGAAAATACCGTCCTTACTTAAAATTACACGCATCTGTCACATGACTTGCCCTATATCCCAGAGAAACAGGTTACGTGATGTCCCAAAGAGAGAGTTTATTAATGATTTGGGAATCCATAATAGAAATACATTGTGTGGTATATATAACCTGCAGAAACTTATTGTGACTGAAGTTTAACCTCCCCCCAAGTCTCCCCAAGTTATATGACAGCTGCTGTATACCTTTAAGACAGGGGTGTCATCTCATCTGATGTCACGGGCCAGATGAGTAGTGTGGAGTAGGTCTGTGGGCCAGATCCAGAGTATGGAGCCATTTTATCTAGCCCACAGGACTGAAAATTTGGTGGTGGGGAAATGAGTACCAGTATTAATTGCAGCAGTTTCCACAGCCACAGCAGCTGCTGCTCATCCAGTCACCAAATATCTGACTCACAGGGCTTAGAATTTGGCTCAAAGATGAGCAGCAGCAGCATTAGTTACTGGGTTTCTGGGAGCTGTGACAATCAACACTGCCACTGTTTACCCCACTGCAAAATTTCCAGCCCCGTGGACTATGCCTTTGACACCCTTGCCTTAAGGTAATGACAGTTAATGATTATTATCACTGTTAATTATTATAACCAAAAATAAGATAATGACATTTTTATCGTTTATCATTAAGTACATTTTTATCATTTAAGGTATGTGGTATCAATAGTGATACTTGCAATATACTTTATTTACCTGAATCCAAAATGGCTTTCAATTTAAGATGACTCCCCCACAATAATTAGATTCTGTACATGGAAAACTACTACATTTTACATTGAATATTTCATCTAGTTACCCCGGGGGGGGGGAGGGGGGGTTCTTATCTTAAATGCATCTCTCCCACTGCTACAGTGGGGAAAACAGCAGCAGGTGGGGGCTCTTCCATTCCCTCCCCCACCTCTAGTTTCTGCCCCCTCTGGGCCAGCAGGTGTGGCTCTGGCCCCATTTTAGTTTGGGACACAGAGCACAGGGTAGCTCTGGCCCTGGCCGAGCCATGCAGCAGTGTTTGTGGCCATGGCAGCACCAAGCCCTGGGACACCAGATGGAGTGGACAAGGGTGGGGAGGGCAACTTCTGCCTCTCTGACCGTGAACCTGTGTCAGGGCTGGAGTTTGAGCCACAGCAGCCCCCTGTCCCCCCTCTGGCTTGCAGTCAAATTGGGGAAAAGATTCGCCCCTTCCCCCCGCAATGTTGAATGGGGAAATAAAATCTTGTCTTGGATTCAAGTAAATATCATAGATAGGGTATAGGCCTTTTTATCATCATGTTGACCAATCTTTTTTCCAAGTACAATGCATATTACGAGCTATAGTAATTTCTCAAGTACAATGCGTAGATTTATTACCAGCAGGGGAATGGCACTGATTGTGGAGAGTATTACTATGTCCGTCATTTTAAACTAGATATGTGTAACTGTGTTTGCTTTTCTGAGTTTGTCTTTAAGTTACCATTTTAAAACAAGTTGTCTGTGAGGGTTGTTATTTTGTAATAAAACATTATTTTTCATCTTAGCTCTGTAAGGGAAAGAATCAAGTGTAAACTTGTGCTTACAGTGGACATTTATAGTGAATTAGATGCTTTCATACTAAACATTTCTTTTGTTTAGTATCTGTCAGCACAGGTATGCAAGCTGGATACCACAAAAGTAGTTTGATTTGTGGAATAAAAGGACTCATGCATTTTTTCACATTTTTTTTCCTCAGAGCTTACACAAATTGAGGACCCAAGAGAGCAGTGGAGAAGAGAGCAGGAACGCATGCTAAAGGAATATTTAATTGTTGCCCAAGAGGCACTTAATGCCAAGAAAGAAATTTACCAAATTAAACAGCAGCGTTTTGAGCTGGCTCAAGAAGAGTATCAGCATCTGCATAAAATGTGTGAGGATGACAGCCGTTCCTATGCCAGCTGTGAGTTTGTTCTTCTGCTAATACACTTTTCTCACTATTTAGCTTTCACAAATTTATTTAAGAACTTGCACCCATTACTTTATTTTTTGGTGATATAAACAAATTTAAATTACTCATGAAGAAGCTCATATTAAATTCTTAGAGGAAGTTGTACCTTAACAGGTGGGGGGAAGCCCTCTCAAAAGGCATTTTTCTTTGATATAACTAGAAATTTCATTTGAACTTGCTTTTTTGCAGGGTGGTTTCTTAGGACAGAAGACCTTTTTTTATCTGTGTGCAGATTATTGCAGGTATTAGTGTAGTAATTAAGTAGACAGTCTTACTTTTTGCTTCTGAATAAGAAAGCCATAGATTGTATTAATGAAAAATACCTCCTTGATTCAAATATTTTAAGGTACATTTGGACATGATAACATGGATTTGCTTCAATTTGTTCATACTTGAAAAGACACTAATATCAACTTATTATGTTAATCTATAGTACTGTATACCAGCAGGTGGCAAATCTAACAGCCTTTAAACTAAGTCTTGGAAGACTGAGAAGCTTCTTTGACATTAAAATTAGTTCCTTCCCTTTATTTTCCCACTAATTCATTTGTCCTTGCTAGTTTTTTTTTTTTTCTCTATCCACATGCTGTTTTACTTCCTTTACTTGCAGGTGTCCAGTAAACTTCCACTTTCAGACTGCTTTTATGTGCTGCTGCCTTGTACATTTTCAGATATGTTGCAGGACTGATTTGCCTTGGCTTTTAAAATCTTGCATGCTATGACCTACATAGTTCATTTTTGGCTAAATTTATACCCAAGATTTCCCATACCTTCTGATATTTAAATAAAAAGTTCCAGGGTTCCAGCTGAGAAGCAGCTAAAGGAGAACAAGAGAAATGGAGGATTGGGTTCTGGCTCATGGTATATCAGTTGGACAAGGAACCTGCTGCATGTTGCAGGGGAGAAAAAGAAACAGTGTGGAATAACATCTAAGGGTGCAGACAGAAGTGCTACTCCTCGCTGTAACTCAGAATGATTACTGCAAAGAGTTCTGAGTTACAACATTACCCCAGACCAAACAGAAGTTCAGGGTTGGTTTCAGTGGGGAGAGAAATCTAGCTGCCTGCTGGGAGTCTGCAGTCAGGTTCCCATAGCAGTGGCCATGGCTCTTTGCCAGTGCCCAGTACTTGCTGTTTTCAGAATGGGAGGGGAGAGGGGCAGCAGAGGGAACTTGTTCTTGGGGCTCCCCAGATAGTGCTTAAGGATGGCGTGGATGAATTGGACATGTGGGCGTGGGGCTCCAATACACCTGCCCCACCCTCTTGGAGGGGGTGGAGGCTGAAAAAACCCAGACTGAACTCCCTCTGTTGCCTTCCCCCCCTCCCATTCTGAAAACAGCAACAGGCTGGGAGCTTCGCAGACACAAGTTACATAAGTTGCTGCATTTTGAAATGTCTTTATTTGATATCTCATGCAATAAGGGGTCAGATTTTCATCCAGCTGGCCATTTTTGAAGCTGTGTGCTGCCATGCACTTGTGTTTGGTCACATCTATAAAGTGCTTTCTATGGTCAGATTGGGCGGAAATTGTCACTTCTGTCTGCATCCTCAGTGGCTGGCTGGCTTAATGCCTCTTAGCATCAACAAGGATTAACAGAGGCATGGAGAGAGAATTTAATTCTTCATACCCTGGATCATTCTTGTTGCCATTTTTTGTATCTTTTTTTTGTTTTACCCTTTGGTAGTGGGGGCACATGATAATTACATGCATTATTCAAGGTGTTGATGTTCCATAGATTTATACAATAACATTATGACAGATTAGGAATTCCTTTGGGTACATGTGGTGAACTCTTGACAATCTCCTGGGTAATTTCAGTCTCATTCAGATAATTAATGAGGATTCTGTAGAAACCTGCTACTACTAACCTGTATAAGAGAAAGACTAGACAACTCAAGAGATTTCTTACGATTACAATACCTGAAGGAACTCAGTTTTGCTTATTAGCTGATTGTTAAGTTCAGTAAAGCAATTTTAAAATAGCTGTGGAAACTAACAGCAGAAAGAACATATTACAGCTCCCTGCACAACAGCTACAAAAGCTTTATTTAAAAAAACGAAAAAACAAAGGCCATACAGTGTAAAAAGTATTCATAAACTGTATGCCAAAAAGAAACTAAAATAGTTAACAAAGAAAACAGCAAATAATTATTTTATTTTGAAATACAAGGAATATATGCACTGAGGAAACATTCAAACAAATGTATTTATTTGTATTTAAAATAGATGCTGCTGGCACATTTATTAAAGAAAAAGGTTTTTTTTTTCTTTCCAGCCTTTTTTCCTCTACTCAGTATTATGTTTACATTTATGTTGCTACATTCATTATATCATATGTTTCTGTGTTGAAAAACTCTGATGTCCCTAAAAATTGTGATTCAATTCAAGACAGAGGAGAAAGAAATAATAGAAATAACCACCACCCCCATATGTGAGGTTGCATATGCATCTGGATAATAGAGGAGACAAAGCTCCTGCAGATGCCAATCATTTCTGCAATGCATACTCCCTCTATTTTCTCTGGATACATGGGTTTAGGACTATGCCAATTTCGTTAGGGATGGTACTTGTAGTGGGTAATTGTATAGATCTTAGTAAATTTAGAGTGACCCTGAAGTCCTTCAAATAACTGTTCACTTGCTAATAAAACCCATCCCCTTAAATGGAAGTGTCGCAGAGCACTTAAGTGCCCTGCTCCTTTTAAAGAGGGGCAACTGCTAGGGAAAGAGCCCTAGCAGTGAGTGAGGAGCCCCAGCTGCTGGTTGCCAGGGCAGCCAGAGTTAGCTAGTGACCCACACCTGCCAGCGGTCAGCTGACTGGAAGGGGTAGGGCCTGGCTCACATTTAAACCCCAGGGCTGAGGCCAGGCAGGTAGTTTCCCTGCCGGCAGCCAAGGGGGAAGGAGCTCTGCCTGAGCAAGCAAAAGGGAGAGGCCTTGACTGCACGAGCAGCTCCTGATACTGTGGTGGGATAGAGTATTTCCCAGTAGGATTTGAATGACGTTACAAGTGGGTGGCTTGAGTTTGTTACAGCCCAGGGGCTTTTTTTGGTTTATTGTTGTATACCACCGGTGGCTTGGGTGAGGCTGTTAGGGGATGGAGGAGGCCTCATAGTGGGTCCACAGCAGCATGGGGACCTCAGCGCTAGAGAGGGCACAGCATTGGGGTTGCACCGAACCCAAGCGCCAGAGAGGGCGCAGTGCAAGACAGGGCCACGGAGAGCCTGAGCGCCAGTGAGGGCGCAGTGTGAGACAGGGTCACGGAGAGCCCAGGGAGGACAAGGGGGCCAAATTATAACAAGGCCCAGACCGAACAACATCAGTTCCATCTGCGAGGCTTGGGGCGTGGTAATGGGGTGGTTGGAGCCATGTATCGCTCATAAGGCTAGGGTGCTCCGAAACACCCGTTGTGCCATCTAGCTTGGAGCGGGACCCACCAGGGGTCCAGGAATCCACGGGGTCGGAGTGTACAGCAAACCGTGTCCAAGAGCGCGTAAGGCAGCCTCCCTGTTATATATTTTACCATCAAAGACATGGCAGGCAACAGTTGAGGGTACCCTTTGGGCCAACTTGGCATGGGAAGGGGGCCTTCGGGAGAACATGGCTCTTCTGCAGGACCCTATGCCATGACAGGAAGTCTTGTAAATTATCTTGGATCCAGGATTCTTAATGTCAGGAGTAGAAGACCTAGCCCATGATCATAGGTGATCAGTCTCCCCTAATTCCTCCCTTACGTTTTGTGGCACTTTTATCTGAATAAGATTGAAATTACCCAGGAGATGTCAGGAGTCCACCACATGTACTCTTAGAATCTATGCCAAAAACCCCTCTATTGGTCCAAGATTTCAGTGGCAAGATCCAGTATTGCAAACCACCAGCATTATAAAAAAAAAAAAAAAAAAAAATCTGTATGTTGTTCAGAAGATAGGAACTTAATGTTTTTGGCTCTGTAAGTCTTTTTTTTTTTTTTTAATTTTGTGCAATACTAGACATTGAAATTGCAGCAGTTAGATTACCATATTTCTTCTCACTTAAATTCTGGCATAACCATAGTCATTGCAATTGCAAACACTAGTGTACACAAAAACTAAACTTATCTTTATGGTGTGACACAGGTTGCTAACATCACTTCAAAATTGGGATGAGAGAAAATACCAATTTAAATTGGTTTAAAACAGGAACATCAGGCTATTAATTTTTTTTCCCCACAGTTTTCATAAGTCTTATGGAGCTATTGAAAATTAATTTTGTGGAGCTATAGCAAGTCATTTTACACAGAAATTTTTGTTACGTATATGCGGAGAAAAGGTTCTGTTTTTATTTTGTCGGTATAGATAAGCTACAATAGCCCCAACTGTTTCTTTAAAAAAATACAAACTTAATAATAGCAACTGAGTAGGATACAAATAACAATTCAGACTTTGCTCTGAGATTATTGGAGCAATGGTGCAAATAGTTTCTGGATTTAAAATTTTTTTTTCTGCTAATATAGTTTAAAACTCAATGCAGCAAAATATTTGAAAACTATTTTAATAAATCTTTAATTTATTCACTAAGCCTTATAAAATGTGTAAAGCCTTATAAAAATATGTACCAGTACTGATGTGTTCAGGGTTAGTAAATATTTCTAAAATTTTGGTTTTGGACTGGATCAAGCAGTTCTGAAAAATGCAGAGGCCTGGTTCATCAAATTGTGATTGTCAGGGATCCTGGTTTTCTTTGTTTAAAAAGAGCAAAACTCTGACTAAAAACCCCAGAATCCATGATTAAACTGAAATCATGGATCAATTGAACACAATGCTTTATAGTTATATTGACAATTTTTAAGCAATTTGGAAGCCTACCAGCGCCTCAAACGAACACTATAATAAAATAAATTCTAAATACCTATAGATTTTGGTATTTGATTTTGAGTTTTTTTTAATCATGGAAAATCAGAGTTGTCCTTTTCATCA